CTCCCCTTGAGGAGCACCCGGAGGCTCCAACTGGCGCAGAGTGCGGCCGCGCGGGTGGTAATGGGAGCGACATGGCGTTCCCATGTAACACCTCTCCTGCGCGAGCTGCACTGGCTCCCGGTGGTCTTCCGGGTGCGCTTCAAGGTTTTGGTTACCACCTTTAAAGCGCTCCATGGCTTAGGACCCGGGTACTTGCGGGACCGCCTACTACCACCAATAGCCTCCCACCGGCCGGTACGCTCCCATAGAGAGGGGCTCCTCCGGGTGCCGTCAGCCAAACAATGCCGACTGGCGGCCCCCAGGGGGAGAGCCTTCTCTGTGGGGGCACCTACTATCTGGAACGAGCTCCCCCCAGAGATACGGAGGATCCCGGATCTGCGCACCTTCCGCCGCGCCTTAAAGACCTTACTATTTCACCAGGCCGGCCTAGCCTAATTTTCCCCCTCTTTTATAAAAGATTTTTAAAATTTTAAATATTTTTTAGTATTTATATATTCAATTTTAAATTGGTTTTAAAAGTTTGGGGTTTTAAATTTGTCGGGGCCAAAATTATTTAATTTGATTTTATTCTATTTTTTAAATTTTGTATTGTATGTGTTTTTATTGTTTGGCTGTGCACCGCCCTGAGTCCTTCGGGAGTAGGGCGGTATAGAAATCTAATAAATAAATAAATAAATAAATAAAAATAAATGAGGTCATTGTGCCCTTAATTATTAGATGCAGCATGATATTAACTCTTATGGTGCTGTATATGTTTTTAGCCCAAAGGATTCCAGGTGGACCGGCTAAATGATTTCAAGTACTAAAGCCAGAAAAGATTCCAACTGAAGACAAGTAGCACTAATTCAGTGATTCAGTTCAGGATTTACATATCAAACGCCAACAAAGTTATGTCTTAAGAACCCTGGACATTACAGGTTAGGGAGCAGCATTTAAAACTAGAAGTTATTAAGCAAATTGTGTGTGTTTGCTTTTAATGCAAAGGACTAGACAGTGATGTTAAGTACTATAATTGCATATAACAGGAGAACATACAATTTCACCTGGTAAATGTAGAGCTTCCATAATGAGGGAGTGCCTAGCCTGTTTATGTAAGTTAACAGAGATTTTAATTTTACAGATATCCCATTTTCTAGTCCTGGACTTTGGATATGACTGCTTTCACGAAGAACAAAGGAATGTATTTGATAAGAGATATGATGGCTTATTTGGAACTTCCCTATAAAACTTAAAATTGGCTTTTGTAAGAGCCATTCTTATCAATATCACATAATGGCAAGATGAAATGATACCGAAGCAACAGCAACTCAGAAAAATAGGTACGGTGAATACAGCCATTAGTAAAGGTGGCCTATTTTGATTGGTGCAGAGGTGGTATTCAGCAGGTTCTGACCAGTTCTGGAGAACCGGTAGCGGAAATTTTGAGTAGTTTGGAGAACTGGTAAATACCACCTCTGACTGGCCCCGTCCCCATCTATTCTCTGCCTCCCGAGTCCCAGCTGATCGGGAGGAAATGGGGATTTTACAGTAACCTTCCCCTGGAGTGGGGAGGGAATGGAAATGTTACAATATCTTTCCCGTGGAATGGGGTGGGAATGGAAATTTTACAGTATCCTTCTCAGTGGTGGGTTGCTCCCAATTCGCTCCTGTTCTATAGAATCGGTAGTAAAACCGGTGGGAGGCTCTGCCCACCCGCCACGACATCATCATGGGTGATCTGCGCATCCGCAGAAGGTTCTGTCATGTGGAGAACTGTGCGTGCACCTGCTGCGAACTGGTAGTAAAGGTAAGTGGAACCCACCGCTGATCCTTCCCCTGCCACACCAAGCCACACCCACCAAGCCACACCCACAGAACCGGTAGTAATTTTTTTTGAATCCCACCACTGGATTGGTGCTATCTTATCTAAACATATAATGGTATGCTATATAATATTGGATTCACCCAGGAAAACTCTTAAACTTATTTTGGACTAGAGTATGGATCTCATTAATGAAACTGCTCCCCAATATTACAGTGATGGCTCAGTGATGGCTGAGGTTTGCCAGTAGCTCTCTCACATGGGAAGTCCCTTACTCTTGTCCGGACAATTTTTTTAATACTTCTGGGAATCAGATAGGTTATAAAATGAATGAATGAAAACACGCTCATTCCCAGCTCCCTAATTTAGAACCACACATCAGTGCCAGGAGAATATTCTTATTTTCATAAATTGTTTACAGCTTCAGGTTCTTGTTTCAGAAGAAGCAGCCACGAAACAGCTCTAAACCATCTATTTCTGAGTCTTGCAGAAACCAGGACAGGTATCTGCCTGCCTTAAAACAGCCCCGAGCTTCTGCTTTATCTGTCTTCCAGGAACAACTTTCTGCCTGGGTGCACGCAAGGCAGGGAGTCAGTGCACCAAAATAAAAGTAAAGGAGGTCTGAAAAGGATTAATCAGGATTTAAATGAACTGTGCCCCTAGGATTATTGGTCATGAGCTACTTCTTACAGAGCCTCCTGAGGGACCTTATCGCCAGAACAAGAACTGCATAAAGACATGCTGTGTAAACATAATCAATTTCAGTCAACAGAAAGCAATGTAATGAAACATAATAACAGGAGCAGATTGCGAAGGGAAGAATCCTCAACACACAAATATATTTTTCTTTTAATGAAAAATTAAGATGCCATCATCCTAGTTGTTATTGCTGAGAGGGAGAAAAGTCAAGTCTGCCAGAATCCAGTGCAGAAATCTGGGCATTGTCTACTGGGAACTTCCAAAATAGGTTCTCCAAAAGGAGAGGGGGGGAGGGATTTAATAGAAGAGAGCACTCCTTGAGGAGCATTTAATTACTGCTCTCATCTCACCTTAGAATACAATTATCCCATGGAGAAAGAAAAGTTAATCTAGTCTTGCTATTATTGAGAATATTGGCTGGGGATGATGTCCCTTGGAAGATTTGCAAATGCCTCTAAAAGCTGCGGTCCACAAAGTAGATGATTGGAAATTGACTTTTTGCAATGGAATCTGGATGATTTTATTAGCTGCTGTGACTATTTTACCCAAAGAGGGCAAAAACATCCTTAGTTAAAATAATAATTGCTAAAAGACCAGAAGCTGGAAAGTTGTAATAAGTACATAAAAACTTCTCAGCCTTTGGAGTTGAACTGATATTCATGATTTTGTCAATTTCAATTATTTACGAGTGGCAGGATTTCAGGGGCTTTGAGGCTTACCTTATAAACAACAAATAAGCTAAACAAAAATGCATTTTCACTGAAACTCAGTTTGCTCCTGGTTCCATTGTGTTTAAGTAAAATATTCTTGTTAAATTTGAAGCCTGCTGATTTAATGGGCTATTTATGTGCTTTCCTTGGAAAGAACAGGAGCTTGATTTGCTATTGTCTTTTTCTGAGGATGTTTTTTAACTTTTAAATTTAGCCCACAACTTTGGTAACTTCTGATATTTTTCACCATAGCACTCACATATCAGGTATAACTATTATTCTTTAAAATACTAAAGTACCTCTGCTAATTAAAATTCTATTAAATAATTAAGCCAAAAGAATGTTTAATTTGAAGAGACTGAACATGCAACAGCTACATTTGCATGCCCGAGTCCTAAAATCAGTTTATTAGCACCCTTTCTGCCTAATCAATTTTATAAAAGGCACAAGATTTCATGAATTACCATTCATTTCATCAAGTGTATAGAGTGGATAAACTGATATGCATTTGATGAAGTAAGATGCGACTTCTAGTATGTCAGTTTAACACCAGGTCTTCCTTTCTGAGCTCTTCTTCATGCAGATTCCAAAATAAATTGAGGATTTTTTTAAAAAAATTGCATTTCTATAGGCTCTTCCCTACTTCCCTGGCAATTCTTGTTCCCCAAGCATTCCTGGCACTTTGCTTTATGCTGCTACCCTGGCAAAGGACTATTTACTGTGTTTATGCAGTAAGACTGATGAATTCTGGGAGCTGAAGATTACACATCTCAAAGTTGCCAAGATTGAGAAACACTATTTTAAACTCGGTATCTACATCCTGAACTTTGAATTTAAAGGGGATATAAGGTGAGGAGAGTCTCCGTCTGCTCTCCTGATGCAAATGGCATTGGAAAGCCCTTTTGTTAGGTCTGAGATCAGTAGGAATAGTGATCCCGGGAAATGTGTTTCACTGAAGTTGAGGATTCCTAAGCAGGGCTGAAAAAAAGTGATTAGGTGAAGATCTTTCTGGAACCTGAAACAGAAATGGCCATGGAAGGACAAAGCCCCATGAGTGATCCTGAAGGGGTGAATTTGCAGGTCACCCAACTTTCTCTGGCTCCTACTTACATTTGACCTATTGCATAATGAAGTCTGCACTAAGTAAGCTTGCTTGTGGAACATCATAAAATGGCAGGGGCAGACACCTAGCATTGTATATTAACGTAAAGATATATATTTGGCAGCATGGAATATTTTTGTTCAGGGTTAGTTTTTATCTAGTTAATTTTTTTCCCATCTGCAGAATTGGGAATTTTCCCAGGAATGTGAACAGATGCTTCTAGTTTCTCAATTGCTCTGTTTTGGCCACATACAGTAGCCACCACAATTCTGTCTTCAGTTTGCTATCAACAGCATAACAAAGGCTATCTCACTTAGAAGTACATTTTGTTTACTAGTAGTAGATTACAACTGACCTGCCGATATCCCTACAAAGGTTTCTCCCCCCCCGCCCCCGCCTTCTGTTTGTGTCTGATGGTTGGAGACTGCTTGAACAAGTTCCTGCAGTTTTCTTGGCAAGGTTTTTCAGAAGTGGTTTCCATTGCCCCCTACTAAAGCTGAGATTGAGTGACTGGCCTAAGGTCATCCTGCTGGCTTTGTGCCTAAAGTGAGACTAGAACTCCCAGTCTTCCAGTCTGTAGCTTAATGCCTTAACCACTACACCACACTGGCTCTGACATTTTTTATTGGCACGAAAATGTTCATCTTTTGTTGACAGTTTTCATTTATTCAGTCCAATATGCTTAAAGAGAATTTGAACAACTTGGTTTATTATACCTAAGAATAGAGAAACAGTAAAACGCTAAAGAATTCTCAAATTCAAAGAAAGCTAAATTCAGACAGTTATTAGGACTGTTTTTTTAATAAAAGAAAATGAAAGGATAATAATATAACCAATTATATTAACAACATACAAAAGTAGTGGAGTATTCAATCCCTGTGTTTAAAAAATGGAAAAGAGTGATGTGGTGGGACATGTCTATGATCCAGTTGTCCCTCAAACATTGCCCCCCAAAAAAGATTGTTTTCCTGTTACTGAACCGAACTGTAAGATATTTCGCACTAACCTTACAGGTTATTTATTACAGATCAGGTAAAACAATAAATCTGGAGCCATTTTAGAAAGTGTTATCTACTTCCTCAAGATCAGAATAAGGACAGCTTCATCAAATATATTTGCAGTGTCATTTTCACTGCAATTTGACTTGTTGCCATATGGCTGCTGTGAAAATTTCATCATGATATCATTTTATCGTTTCTTCTTTGTTTCTTTTTTGAGCTTCTTGTTCACCGAGATAGCAGTAAGTTTGGGTTTCTTGACTACTTCAGCACTTTTCGTTTCAAAGCTTTCAGTATCCTGTTAAGTTCATTAAGGAAAAGAGAACATTAATGATTTTGTGGATAGGTTTTAGATCTTTTTTATTATTTGCTGGTACATGAGAATGCTGGATAAATGTGCTCATGAATCATTTACATAATCAAAGACACTGTAATAAGTACTGCATGTTTTATACTTATATCTTTTATACTTATCTTTTTTTAAAAAGTTTATTCAGGCTGACCCTAGGTATTTTTATTTGGAAGACGTTTATATGAATGTCATTTAAAAAAAAAACAACAAAAACAAATCTACAGTTTTAACATTGGACATTACCACCTGTATTTTGAGGTCATGAGTGCCTATCAGCACAGCTTTGTAGCCAAGTTGGGCAAAAAAAAATTATGAAAAAACATAGAAGAGTTAAAATCTAACAACGAATAATTAGCTGATTGTTCAGAAAATAGCAATATTGTGCTAAAGCCATTGATCTTGAATAGGGAAAGGGAGAAAGAAATGCCTCAAAGAACATAAGTCAGAACTATATCAAAGAGAAGGAAAAGCAGCAAAGATGTTGAGAACAAAGTGAAGGGGGTGGATGGGGAAGGACTAATAGATGATAGTAGTAAATGGCTTTACCCAAACAAGTCTGAAAGGTTGTGGATTCTAGGGCTCCCTAAATCTAGAGACTGTCTATCTTTTTGGATAGGATTAAACTTGCCAGACAAAACTTGTGTGCAATTTGGGTATCCTCTTGGATTTTCCATTCCTACTTGGAGAACAGTTGGGAGTCATGACCAAGAAGGCCTCTGAACAAATCCACCTTGTGCACCAGTTTCTGGATCAGGAAGCCCTACTCATGGTTAGTCACGCCTTAGTCGCTACCTGACTGGTCTGCTGCAAGTCATGCTGTATGAGGCTGTCCTTAAAACACTATCAAGAAGCTACAACTGGTCCAAAATGCAATGGTGTGTATAGTTATGGATCCATCAGGGTGCCCTATACAATATCACTATTACACAGCTGCATTAGGCATCTACAAGTTCCCAGGTGCACTTCACGGTGCTGGTTATCACTCATAAAGCCCTTCATGACAGAGGGTCTGTTACTTGTGGGGCCACCTATCTCTGAGTGTTTCTGGCTAACCCATGGGATCCGAAGGGTGGACATGCTTTGGATCGCCTCTATGAAATACTGCCACCTAGTGAGACCAAAGAAGCATGCCTTCTCTGTCATAGCACCTGCCCTTTGGAACAGCGTTATCACCTGAGATTTGGATAATCGTGACCATGTTGATTTTCTGTGAGTCCTTTAAAAATGTTTATATACTATAATCTAGTAACTCATGCTGCATTATTTGTTTTATGTTAACAAATATTAATATGTGTCTGAAATTAGCAGAACCCTGAATACAGACTATTCATCTGAGACTGGTATTTTTAGGCTCTGTCCATGCAAACTTTATGACGTCAGTATCAGCTTTAATTTTAAATATTTCTTCCACCCTGTCTAGTCTACTTTGATACATAATGCCTGATAAGTTTACAAAAAACTGGTGGGAAATTTTTGGAAACATATGTTTGTTTCGAAGGTTGTTGAGAGTGTGGTGGCACGACAACTACCCCGATACCTGGATGAAGTTGTCTATCTGGATCCGTTCCAGTTGGGCTTCAAAAGGTCACGATACAGCACGGAAACGGCATTGGTCGCATTGGTGGATGATCTCTGGAGGGCTCGGGACAGAGGTTGCTCCTCTATCCTGGTCCTATTAGATCTCTCAGCGGCTTTTGATACCATCGACCATGGTATCTTACTGCACCGGCTGGAGGGGTTAGGAATAGGGGGCACCGTGCTTTGGTGGTTCTCCTCCTTCCTCTCTGACTGTTCGCAGTTTGTGTTGGCAGGGGGGCAGAGGTCGACCTCGAGGCACCTTATTTGTGGAGTGCCGCAAGAGTCAGTCCTCTCACCCCTTCTGTTCAACATTTATGTAAAACCGCTAGGCGAGATCATCCGTGGTTTTGGGGTGAGTGTTCATCAGTATGCTGATGACACACAGCTATACATCTCCACCCCAGACCACCCCAATGATGCCCTTGCTGTGATGTCCCATTGCCTGGAGGCCGTGCGGATCTGGATGGGGAGAAACAAGCTCAGACTCAACCCCTCCAAGACCGAGTGGCTGTGGCTTCCGGCGTCCCGGTATAGTCAGCTGGTACCATCACTGACAATAGGGGATGAGATCTTGCTCCCCACAGAGAGGGCCCGCAACTTCGGTGTCCTCCTGGATTCACGGTTATCTTTAGAAGATCATTTGACGGCCGTGGCCAGGGGTGCCTTTTATCAGGTTCGCCTGATCCACCAGTTGCGTCCCTTTCTGGATCGGGACGCCTTGCGCACGGTCACTCATGCCCTAGTTACCTCCCGTATGGACTACTGTAATGCTCTCTACATGGGGCTCCCCTTGAAAAGCACCCGGAGGCTCCAACTGGTCCAGAACGTAACCGCGCGGGTGATTATGGGCGCAGCTCGTTACGCCCATATAACACCTCTCCTACGCGAGCTGCACTGGCTCCCGGTGGTCTTCCGGGTGCGATTCAAGGTGTTAGTTATCACCTTTAAAGCGCTCCATGGCTTAGGACCTGGGTACCTACGAGACCGTCTTTTGCCACCAATAGCCTCCCACCGACCAGTTCGTTCTCACAGGGAGGGACTACTCAGGGTACCGTCAGTCAAATTATGTCGACTGGCGACTCCCAGGGGGAGGGCCTTATCTGTGGGGGCTCCAACCCTTTGGAATGAACTGCCCCTGGAGATATGGAATATCCCTGATCTCCGTGCTTTCCGCCGTGCCCTCAAGACCTTGATGTTCCAACAGGCGAGGCTAAACATACGAACATGTGAATGATTTTTTAAATGTTATCTAATTCTGGGTTTTATTTAATTGACCAAACTAAGTAATAATTTTAATTAGCAATTTTATGATGTTTGTGTGTCTATATTTTTCTTGACTGTACACCGCCTTGAGTCCTACGGGAGAAAGGCGGTATAGAAATATAATAAAATAAATAAATAAATAATAAATAGAAAACAGTTTTAATTGGAATCAAAGTATCATCTTGAGAAAGAAAGAAAAAAGGAAAAAGGAAAAAAGAAAAAGGAAAAGAAAGAAAGAAAAAAAGAAAGAAAGAAAGAAAGAAAGAAAGAAAGAAAGAAAGATTGATTTATGACATTTTTAGAGGAAGCCAAATTCACAGATTGCTTTCCCTCATTAAACAAGTTTTGATATAAATATTTTTTGGATTCTAAAGATGTCCACAATTAATGTATGCCAACTGGTAAAAAAAAAAGCACAAAAACTGGCACAGAGTTCTGTGCTGATTTTAAGCCTTTTAGAAAGCAATGCAAATTTTGCTCTGCCGGAACGGGAAGAAGGCCTGCTACTATCTTTATCATCAATGAACCTGGCTGAGTTACAGGATTATGGCAATTTGCTTATGTGTCCTTCCAAGAAAGGATAGTGGACTTGCATGCCAAGGTATGTGATTCACCCACAGGAAACACCAATCCTTTGGACAAACAGAAGCAAAGCATTTATCATTCAGAGACTTAAAGTGCATAGTTTAAATGTTCCTGAATAAAGAGAAGAAAACAGATAAACAGATAAAATTACTATGCTAAGTAAAGAATAGCCATGCTTCCTTTTAATAATCAGAACTGGAATTTTTTTCTGCAGCTCATTGACTCTTACAATCTCAAACAATGCTATACTACTTAATTACAGGGTTAATTCCTATGTGAAAACGGGTATCATATGGAATAAATTCCTGACATTTTAAAAATGTTACAGCTGCATTATATTCTGGCATTTGCTTTTCACTGAGGAAATCTGATGTGTTTATTATTTGCTGGAAAGTTGACTTAGTTTTTACATTCAAATAATAAAAGTGTTTTCTTTGCTACTAAATGATTCATAATTGCAAACTCCTCAGCTAGTTGGCATAATACTCACCATTTGGGGCTAAATTAAAACAATTTATGCTTACTGAAGGCAGGTGCAAAGGAAGAAAAAACAGTCCTGGCAAAAACATGGACACGTAGAATAAATTTGAAACAAAAAGAGGGAAGGAGGCTATTTTTTAAAATTACCAAGTTACAAACACACAATTGTGCCACCAAGTGCACAAGTTAGTCTTATTCAAAATTTGAATTCTGAAAATCCCGCTTTAATTTTGAAGAGGAAGCCCAGAGACTGGCTAGTCATACTTTAATAAAATTATAGAATAGTGATGCTGTCAGTGGTATTTTGGGAAATGAACTATAATCTCCATAACAAATAATCCATGATATGCAACTACTTTTTTTACAAGGAGTATATAAGAAAACATAACAATGACCACAGTCTTGCCTAACGCTCATGTGTCCACAAGTGGTTAGAACCCTGATTTTTGCCAAGATAGAACCCTGTGTTTCCCCCTAATCTAGAATCCTTTGTTGTATCACTTCCTGGCAAAGATATGAAGTTTCTAATTAAGAACAATCCTCTCAAGTTTGCCAGATATCCCTATCTTGCCTGACATCTCTTCCCTTATGTTAATTTTCTACAGTGATTGTCACTGAATTGGATTAGATCTCTTTATTTTGTTCCCCTCTTCTCTTCCCAGAAAAAAGAACAGAGAGATGTGGAGAAGAATGAAAGAAGTCAGAGTGTGGATGAGAGGCACATAAAAATATGTATAAAAATATTGCAGGAAATAAAAGTATCTGCTTTCAGAAGTGTAAAAATGGCAATAAGCTTGGTGCAGTAAAAATGGAAATAGATGACTGATGAAATAAGAAAAGAGAAAGGAGAGAGAAGGGGGGAGGGTGGGGGGGAGGAAGCAAGAAGAAATGGAAATGCTGGCTTGGGCTACTCTCTGTTTCAGTGTACGCTATAGCTTGTATTGACTTTGGTTGTACCCAATTCTGCCATGTGCTTTCTCCTGCAGCAAAAAAAGGTTCCACGTTTCTATTCTAAGGAAATAGCTGCAATTGTTGGGATGCCATGGGCTTCCTATCATGCACAGAAAGCCCTTAATAGATGAAATACTACCCAACTGATGTCTCTTTGTCCTCTAAAGAATGAAAGAAAAAAAAGTGTACGTAGGGAACAAAAATCAGGTAATGATCAGATTGTTGCCAAACTGGCAGTTAGTTACAATGCCCGGTCATAGACAAGAAATGCTTACCATTTTATATGTCTTTGGAACAGGGAGGATTATCGCCAGAACACAAATGAGCTGGAAAATGGCACCAAAGAAAAGGCCATAGTGTAAGATGTTCTCCATAAAGGTGGGCTCTGGGATTTCAGGGGGTGAAAAATCCAACTCAGCAGCCATAGTGAAGTCCTTAAGTTCTCTTCCAACAAAATTGGACTGGCTTGTTTCTGCAAGGAAAAGAAGTTCCGTTGAAATATGCACCCCCCCCCCCACCCCATAAAGTCATAATCCTCATTCAGGAACTCCATAAGGCACAAAATGCTGAGGCAGATGGTCAGAATGCTGTTGGTTATTTGAGTGTGATACTGAGCCTCCACTAACTAGGCACCTTGCAGATGTGTTGGACTCCAGGTCTTAGAAATCTCACGTAGCATGGACTTTGAAGTTTAGTTCCGCAGGAGTCCAACAAACATGTGAAACAAGTCAGGTTGACAAAGGCTATTCTATTCCTCTTTGGTTACTACAGGTCCATTTCTGGGAGTTTTCAAAAATGTCAGCTCTAGCCTTCAAATTCTTCAGTGGTTCAGGATCAAGATACTTACAAGGTATTACTCCAGTCACCCTAATACAGATTTGCTCTTATATTAGTATATTATGCATTTCCCACCCTTTGGGAGGTTTGATTAGTGGGAACAGTAAATTGGCTTTTCCTCTTATAATACATTTGCCCTAAGAGATTCATTTTGTTCACTCTTTACCAAGCTAAAAGTTTTGCCATTGCAGTGAATTTTTGATCTGATCACTGTCTGAATTCAGTGACTGTTGGAACTCTAATGATGCCTGTTTTAACTGATTTTTAATTCTGTATTGTATTTAAATTCCTGTGTAGATAGATTCCATTTAGTAAATTGTATAATGGCCTGCCTTTTGTCAATACAACTCTTATTACCAAAATTCAAATTTTGAGGCAACCATTTCAATGGATATATTAAAAAATATAAAGGGATGATATCTGTGTCTATTTTTATACAAAAAGCAAGCTTCTCTGGAATACCTGCTTAAAAGTAGATCTAGGAATTTTAATCCAAACATTTAGAGGGTGAATAAAGCCATGATGTGATGAGGCAGAATTATCAAGCACAACGTTAATACACTAGAGAAGTACAAAAAATAACTAAACAGTATCAAATAGGAATTTGATAGCAGTAGAAGCAGCAGCAAAAGCTTCATTAACATTTACTCCTTCCATGCTGACTCTTATTACATTTTCCTGTTCTGGAGGCGGGACAGCATCTTTCTAAGCTCACCAAAGGCAGTAGAACTTCTGGTTTTGTAGTGTTTTGCCACTCAAGTATTATACATAAAAAAAAAACCCTCATTATTATTTTTAAAAATAAACCATTACATCTCCATCAATGGAAGCCATTTAAATAGTTTTTAGCTACAGTGACCTTAAAACAGGAAGAGCAGAGCCAAGTGTCTACGACCAAAAATTAAGTTTAAAAAGTAATCTGCCCAAATGCCACGTGCATTTAAAAAGTAAATAAATAAATAAATCTCTTGGGAGACATTTATTTACGAAGGGGTTGATTTTCTCCTCTTTCTTTCAATCCCCCCATTGCTAGAGGTTACTTTAAAAAAAAACAAAAAAACACTATGTCTAATAAAATCACAGCCGTTGAGGTTGTTTTTTTTTTCCTTTTGGGAAGGCATTAGACCGATTTGCTAGGCGAAATTCAGGATTTCTTTAAGGCGGTTAAGCGAAAAAAAAGAAAGAAAGAAGGAAAACCATTAGAAATACGAAAAGCTGGTTCTCTTACAGATCAATAAAGGCAGGCTGGCTGGCTTAGAGCTAAAGTAGAGAGAAATTATAGAAAAGCCCTCATTTTTCTCCCTTTCAAACAGTCTGTCCTCCCCCCCCCCCCCCTCCCCCCCCCCCAATGACCTCCAGGAATCTTATTAAGCTCTCCCGGCGCCCCTCTTACCTACCACTCAAGCACAACCTCGTTCCCCGGAAGCGCTTCCGATCCCCCAGGAAGTACTTCCTCCCTTAGCAACGCCTGGTAGCAACGCGTTGCCCAGATAGCCCCGCCCCTTATTCCATCGTCCTCTCGCTCGCTGGAGTTGCGAAGTCTCTCCCCCCCCCCACCTTACTTCTCACATCCGATGCATTCGGAACATCACCAACTAGCAGAGGTCTTCAAACTTGGCAGCTTTAAGACTTGTGGACTTCAACTCCCAGAATTCTCCAGCTAGCATAGTCTGGCTGGAGAATTCTGGGAGTTGAAGTCCACAAGTCTTAAAGCTGCCAAGTTTGGGGACCCCTGAACTAGGGGAAGAGGGTTAAGGGGAAGAACCAGGGGTGAAATCCAGCAGGTTCTAGCGGACATTTTGAGTAGTTCAGAGAACCGGCAATTACCACCTCTGGCTGGCCCCAGAGTGGGCTGGGAATGGAGATTTTGCACTATCCTTTCCCTGCCACGCCCACCAAGCCGGTAGTAAAATAATTTGGATTTCACCACTGGGAAGAACCAACCCAAATATTATGAAACGGGGTTTCTTGGGGCTCCTACACTCATGGATAGAGGGGGGGGGAACCAGCTGTGGAACCAGTGTCCCTATGGATTGCCTTCCTGTTTGCTTGTTTGGTCTTAAGGTGTTGTTTTGGGTTGAAACAGGGAACTCAGATCCTACGAAACGGCGAAGAATAGAGTGCAAATCTGGAATAGATGGAGGCTACCGAGCCAGAACTCTGGGCAATGATTCTCTGTTATTCCTTGACAGATGTGGTTATGGAAAATAATAATAATAATTATGCAGGAAACACTAGAGAAGCAGGAGCTTGCAAAGAAGGTGGAGTGTTATCTTGCTTTCCTTATTCTGCACCCCTTACAGAATTATCAGAGAGAAAGATGGCACATTCAAGTCCTTTTGATGAGATTTGGAAGAAGAATCATCGTCTTTTCTGGAATCCTACATGGGGTGGACTTTATATTTAGGCAAATTGTGAAATCAGTCAAGAATGACTTATTTTTCTTTTTATGCTTATTCAAATATTACGTTATTATCTAGACATCACAAAATTCCAAGATTTATTCATAAGAGGTAAAAAGCTATAAGAAACATAAAATACATACACATGACCCAAGGTATTTTGTAGCTTTGACTATCAAGTGGCTATAAGTTGCAATAGATACCTTTATGGAGTGTGAAGGAATTCCTTAAAAAAAAATCTTATTTTATCAGGCCAGTCATGAACTTGACAAATTATATCTTTAAATGTCTTCAAAGCATCTGTTAAAAACAGGATACCAAAATGAGAGGTTGATATCATGATTTTGCTGACAGCTGTGGTTGAGATGTTGTGACTGATGCAAAATCCTGGGTAGATGATACAATCATTTCAATAATAACTAAAACCAAAAATACAAAGATGCACTCAGCCCAGCTAATACAACTTAGTTTAAACAAAATGTTACTGCTGGAATGGTTAAATAATTATTAAACAGTGACATCTGCTGTTGAACAGCAATAACCACTCTATACTCCACAAATTTAATTCTTAATATTGTTTGCTATTTTCCCCTAAATAATTAAACAGTTCTTGCTTTACTTAATTATAATTATGATGACTTCACGAAAACTTGTATCAGACAACAATAATCAAAATAACAATGTAAAGCTCTGCTAAATGAAAAATTAAAAAAAAATTAAATTGGTATTAAAAAAAAGACGGTGGAGAATATAGAAAATATTTAAGAAAAAAATGGCCATGAAACAAAAAAAAATCTTGGAAAAGACAAGGTAATTTGGGAAACACAATTTATATTCCATAGCCTAACTCTGATCTCAGTTCTTGAGTAAACCATATCTGGAATTTAAGAAGGATTATAGCATGAGGTGCATTAAACATCATATGCAGTATATTGGTTCTAAAAAGGCATGTCTCTGGAAAGTGACAGAAAACTTGTTAAATAATACCTTACATAGATATTTCATATTGTATGATATTTACATTATTAATGGAAGGATACAATACGCATATCAATAAAAAAAGTTTGACCCAACACTATTTTATTACAGAAATGAGAAGATTGTGTTATCACAGATTACTTCTTCATCAATATCTGACAAATATGAGACATAACTATTAAGTAACAGATGATAAAGGCTGAATGGGAGAATCTTTGTTGAATCTACAGCTTCAGGTATTCAAAATAACAGGTGTCTTCCTTTTCTTATGCATGACTTCCAGCATACAAGCAATTCTTGTATGACGAGATATGCTACTGATTTTTATGAAAGCTGCCCCATCCTAAATTAACTTTTCTTTGCCTCTTTTAACATGTAACATATTTGTGTTTTATTAAAAAAAAGAAAAATCCTTCAGAGAATTGTTTAAAGATAAACTCTGTGCATTCAAGACCTCAGAAAGGCATGAGAGTCTAGGAATGTGGTTCAGTAATTGTTACATTAATGGTTTAACTAAAACAGAGATATACAGAATAATCTTTAACTTTCCAGGTTTGTTAGAGTTCCACTTCCTCTATACCTCAAAACTATAGGTATGGTGAACTTATTCTTTTTGTCATTCTTGTGTTTAACTTTTAAAGAGAGTTACACAGCCCTGTCTATATCTCTGTTATTAAATGTTCCTGTTTGGATAGCTTGCATATTAAATGCATATTAAATAGAAATCAGAAGACAAGAGGGTCAATTAATTTATTTCTTAAATTTGTACACCATCACAGTCCCAGCAATTCTGGGTAGTTCACAAAGATAACAATAGAACAGTACAACAATAAAGACAAATGAACAAAAAAATAGCAAAACCAGACAATGAGAATCACACAGACACTACTCAGAATGAGCTTTAACTACCATAGTCAAAGGCTAGAGGAAAAAGCCAGGTCTACAAGGCCTCAAAAACACCAGTTCGGCAGCACCACAGAGAAGTTACACCTCTGGAGTCCAAACAGATGTCATTGCTTAATCAACAGAATTTGTCAGAGTAAACTGGCCAGATCCAATGGGCAACAGGTGGTTCCGCAAGTAACCATGTTCTACTGTGACAACTAAAATCAATATATATGTAGGACTTTTTTTTTTTTTTAATTTGATTTATATGCCGCCCTTCTCCGGAGACTCAGGGCGGCTTACAATGCACTAAGCAATAGCCTTCATTCTTTTGTATATTTATACAAAGTCAGCTTATTGCCCCCACAACTGGGTCCTCAATTTACCTACCTTAGAAAGGATGGAAGGCTGAGTCAACCTTGAGCCTTGGCGAGATTCGAACCTGCAGTAATTGCAGGCAGCTGGTCTTAATAACCAGTTTAATAACAGGGTGCCTTAGACCACTGTACTACCAAGGCTCTTGACTTGACTTACTTTAGTTTAGTCAAGTCAAGGACTTGACTTACTTTAGTTCATTTAGTAACCTCTTGAAGTTACAACGGCACTGAAAAAAGTGACTTATGACTGTTTTTCACACTTATGACAATTACAGCATCCCTCTGGTCATGTGATCAAAATTCAGATGCTTGGCAATTGACTCATATTTGTGAGGATGGCAGTGTCTGATGTCATGTGATCACCTTTTGCGATTTTCTAACAAGTAAAGTAAAGTCAATGGGGAAGTTAGATTCACTCAACAAACTGCCTTATTAACTTTATCAGAACTGCAGTGATTCACTTAACAACTGTGGCAAGAAAGGTCATAAAATTAATCAAAATTCACTTAACAAATGTCTCACTTAGCAACAGACATATTGGGCTCAGTTGTAAGTCAAGGACTACCTGTATATGCCTGCAATATTGCTCCAAAACCCTACAGAATCTACATGGAGGGAAGGATGCAGTAGGCCCAGGACTCTTCAACATCTTCATCAATGAGTTGGACAAGGGGATAGATGGGGAACTCATCAAATTTGCAGATGACACCAGGCTGGCAGGAAAAGCCAACACTCCAAAAGATAGGCTTAAGATACAGAAGGATCTTGACCAGGGGTGGGTTCTACCTTTACTAATGGTTCGCAACGGGATCACTCTCTCTCTCTCACTTCACTCACGTGCCTTGCTTCTGTGCATGCGCAGATTGCTTCTGATGACATCAGGGTAAGTGTGCGGAGCCTCCCACCGATTTTACTACCAGTTCTATAGAACTGCTCTGAACTGGGGGCAACCCACCACTGATCTTGACAGACTTGAACATTGGATGCTATCTAACAAAATGAAATTCAATGGTGAAAAAAGTAAAGTTCTACATTTAGGGAAGAAAAACAAAATGCACAGGTACCTTATATGTGGTACCTTGCTCAACAGTAGTAACTGTGAGAGGGATCTTGGAGTCCTAGTGGACAACCATTTAGATATGAGCCAGCAGTGTGCAGCAGCTGCCAAAAAAGCCAACATAGTTCTATGCTGCATTAACAGAGGGATAGAATTAAGATCACGTGAAGTGTTAATACCACTTTATAATGCCTTGGTAAGGCCACACTTGGAATACTCCATTCAGTTTTGGTCGCCATGATGTAAAAGAGATGTTGAGACTCTAGAAAGAGTGCAGAGAAGAGCAACAAAGATGATTAGGGGACTGAAGGCTAAAACATGAAGAACGTTTGCAGGAACTGAGTATGTCTCATTTAATGAAAAGGACTAGGGGATACACGATAGCAGTCTTCCAATATCTCAGGGGCTGCCACAAAGAAGAGGGAGTCAAATTATTCTCCAAAGCACCTGAGGGCAGGACAAGATGCAATGGGTGGAAACTAAACAAAGAGAGAAGCAGCCTAGAACTAAGGCTGCTTAGCCTTCCTTTCCTGACAGTTAGAATAATTAATCAATGGAACTTGCCTCCAGAAGTTGTGAATGCTCCAACACTGGAAGTTTTTAAGAAGATGTTGGATAACCATTTCTCTGAAGTGGTGTAGGGTTTCCTGCCTAAGCAGGGCGTTGGACTAGAAGACCTCCAAGGTCCCTTCCAACTCTGTTATTTTATTCTATTTTTGAATGAGAGGAAGGAAGCTCAGAAATTACCACAA